GTAGGTAGTGGAGTCTTTTGTGTCTTGGCATATGGGTGAAGTCAATTTGCCAATCTTCTCTGGGTTGATGCCCTCTAAGCTGATGACTAGGGTGTATGTTGCGTATTGCCCCCTGAGTGTTTGCCTTTAGGCAGATCAGACACTGTTGGCCGATTTTTTTTAGATGAGAGAGAAGGGATGGACACTCAATGATGGGAAATAAAAAATTATATAGAGCCTGGTGCCCAATGTGCAGAGAGTTGTGGATGTCTTAGGATTTTTTGCGTTTGAGCTTCAGGGAGGACGACACAGTTTTGGATAAAGATCCATTGGTCAGGCGTTATGGTTGCCTGGGTTTTGTAAAAGTCTACTTTTTTCTTTCTTCTGAGGAATAGGAAGGGGAGTATTGGGAGATTAAGAAACAGAGATTGGGGACTTTTTGTGGAGAGTGCTATTGATTTTGCTGTGGCATCGGCAAAGTGGTTCCCTTGGGCAATTGGATTGGTAGGCCTTTGATGTCCTTTGCAATGAATGATAGCCACCTCCTTAGGGGAGGTTAGAGCTTGTAGTAACAGTTGGATTTGCCTGCCATTTATAATGGGAGTTCCTTTGGTAGTTAAGAATCCCCGCTCTTGCCAGAGTATAGAATGTGTATGTGCTATCATGTATGCATACTTAGAGTCAGTATATATATTAACTGTTTTTCCCTCAGATAGATGGAGTGCCCTGGTTAAGGCAGTGAGTTCTGCCTTTTGTGAGGTTGTGCCTAATGGTAGAGGATTGGCTTCTATTACTTGGGTGTTAGTAACCACCACATATCCTGCGTGTTTGTTTCCTTGGGGATCAGTAAAGGAGCTTCCGTCTACAAAGAATGTTAGTTGTGGATTTGGGAGGGGTTGGTCTCATAAGTAGAGATGAGTTGGGAGGGCTGACTGAATGACCTCAGAACAGGAATGCTCTGGGGCATGGGAGGTATTTGGGGTAGGCAGGAGAGTGGCCAGGTTAAGAGGGGAACAGGTGGTTATTTTAATGTCAGGGTTTTCTAAAAATAGGACATGGAATAATTGTATGTAGGAAGGAGTGAGATGACTGATACACTTGTGGGAAATTAGATCTTGGAGGCGATGTGTGGAATGGACTGTGAGGGGGCCTCCTAAGGTAAGTTTTAAGGCTTCTTTGGTCAGTTCTGCTGCCGTGGCTAGAGCTCGTAGGCAGGGCTGCCACCCTTGCACTGTGGTGTCCAGTTGCTTGGAGAGATAAGCAACTGGCTTTAAGGTTGCTCCTATTGGTTGGGCCAAGAGACCTGTGGCTACTTTTTGGCATTCATCAGTGAAGAGATAAAACGGGTATTGGGGGTTAGGCAATGAGAGAGTAGGGGCTGACAGCAGACATGACTTAAGGCGCATAAAATGAGTAGTGATTAGTTTTGGATTGGACAGGGGTCCTGTTGGGGACTCTTTTGCAGCCTGGTAAAGGGGCTTGGCCAGGACCCCAAAATTTGAGATCCAATGTTGAAAGAATCCTACCAGTCCTAAAAAAGATAAGATTTCTTCTCCATTGGTTGAGGGGGTGAGGTCCTGAATAAGACTTAATCTGTCTATAGTAAGGGACTTGGACACAAGAGTAAGTTCTATACCTAAGTATATAACTGCAGGGAGACAAAGTTGGGCCTTTTGTTTGGTGACCCTGTAACCTAGCCCTCCTAAATAATTAAGGAGGAGGGCGGTGTCCTGTAGGGAGACATCATGTGAAGGGCTACACAGGAGTAAATCATCAACATACTGGATAATTGTGCTAGAACTGATTGGGCACTGGGCCAGATCTTTGGCCAATGCCTGTCCAAAAAAATGGGGACTGTCCCGGAAGCCCTGAGGGAGGACTGTCTAGGTTAGCTGAGTAGACGTATAAGTTTTGGGGTCTTCCCAAGTAAAGGCAAACAGAAAATAGTGGTTGGGGTGTAAGGGAATGGAAAAGAATGCATCTTTTAAATCAAGGACTGTGAAGTGAGAGGTTTTGGAAGGTATACGGGATAAAAGGGTATATGGGTTTGGGACCACCGGGTGTGTTGGGATTACTGCCTCATTAATGATACATAAGTCCTGAACTAATCTGTATGCCCCTGAGGGTTTTTTGACAGGGAGGATGGGGGTGTTACAAGGAGAATGGGTAGGAGTAGATGATCTATGATGGGTTTAATTCCTAGTCGGTGGCACAAAGAGAGCGAGAATTGGGGGTGAGACGGAAAGTGGGTAGGGTCTTCTAAGTGAATGAGAATTGGCTTATGGTGTTGGGCGACTACCGGAGTAGAGGTGTCCCATACCTGCGAGTTGACCAACACTGGAAACGTTGGGGCGGGGAGGATTAGGACCTTGGTTATGAGGGCACAAAGGCGCTATGAGGGTGATGTTAGAGCCAGGGTGAGGATGAAAGGGAAGGGAAATAGATGCCTTGAGCTTGGTTAAGATGTCTCATCCCAAAAGGGGGGTGAGACAAGAGGGCATGATGAGGAAAGAGTGAGCAAAGCATGCATAGTCCAGGCAGCAATTTAACATTGGGGTCTGGCGAGGGTTAGACGGTTTACCGTCTACCCCCAACTACTGAGATAGTGGATGGCTGACTAGGACCTCCATAGGTTGGCAAAACAGAATAGGTAGCTCCCGTATCGATGAGAAAAGAAATTGGCTTACCGCTACCTGTAGAGTTACCCTAGGCTCAGCGAGGGTGACCAGGGTCTCCGAGTGTGGGTAGCGTCAGTCGTCGTCCAGGTGTAGGAGCTGGAAGGAGCCTTCTGACCCTTGAGGAGAGGTACCACGTTGAGGCGCAATGCCTGCCCTGCTGGTGTGGCAATCAGACTTCCAATGTCCCTCCTGCTGGCAGGCTGGGCATGGTGTGGTAGGCAGGTGAGGATTTGGGCACTTATTTGCCCAATGCCCAGTTGCACCACACTTGAAGCATTGGTTGGACGGAGTGGCCGCTTTGATTTGGGGACACTGGTTTGCCCAGTGTCCTGGGTCTCCGCATTTAAAGCAGGAGCCCTTAGGAGACTTATTTTTGGCTTTCCCTGCTGGCAAAGTGGGTAATGCAGGTTGGAGGGCAGCCACTAAAGCTTGTGCTTGGAGGGCGGCCTTCTGTTTTACTCTGGTTTGTTGAAGAGCTTCCGCTGCTTCTTCCCTAGAGTTAAAAACCTTGAAAGCCAACTTGACTAAGTCCTGAATGGGGGTTTGAGGTCCATTCTCTACCTTTATTAATTTTTTCCAGGTGTCAGGGGCTGACTGGGAGATAAAATAAGCGGCAAGGACAGTAGCTTCTGCCGGAGAGGTGGGATCCAGTCGGGTGAATTGGACAAGTGCCTCTTTTAAAAAGGAGGCAGGATTCTCATGTGAATGTTGAATAATTTCTTGTAATTTATCAAAATTTACTATTTTGTTAGAGACTGCCTGCATGCCGGCTAAGAGGAACTGTATCATAATGTCTCTTCTGCGACGCCCGGGTTGTTGGGGTTGGTAGTCCCACTCAGGGTCTGCAGATGGGACAGCTTGCTCACCCACCGGGATGGCAGGGTCAGTTAAGTGTAATTGGTCTGCATGCTGCCTGGCGGCTGCAAGAATGCGCTCTCTTTCCCTTGAGTTTAGAGTGGAAGTAAGAATGACATGTAAATCATGCTAGGTAAGGTCATATGCCTGACATAGGTATTGAAACTCCTTGGAATATAGGGTGGGGTTAGCTGAAAAGTCGCCGAGCCATTTCGAGTTTGGAAAGATCTGCCAGGGAAAAAGGGACATGGACTCTAACTAGCCCTTCAGCTCTGGCAACCTCTCGGAGGGGGGCCAGCAAACCACTGGGAGGGGTAAGGTCAGGTTGATTAGGTTGATTAGTGGAAGGTTGATTAGTAAGGTTTGGTATAGTGGTTTTCAAGTGGGTATGGGCCGCAATGGGAGAGGTGGGAGGAGTGGCTGAAGAAGGAGCGGGAGGGGTGGTGGGAGGGGCATAGGGAGGGGGGTTGGAAGGTTGGGAGGGAGGTGCCCCACCTTCGGCCCTGTCTGAAATGGAGGCGGAAGGTAGGGGGGAGGTGCCCCGCCTTCGGCCCTATCTGAAATGGAGGTAGAAGGTAGGGGGGAGGTGCCCCACCTTCGGCCCCATCTGAAATGGAGCCGGAAGGTCAGGGGGGAGGTGCCCTGCCTTCGGCCCCATCTGAAATGGAGGCACAGTCCTCCTCTGTTGTTGAGGTGGGGGCCAAGGGCCGGGTTTTAGCTAATAAGACCTGGGCCATTGAACATTGGGCACACAGGTCTGGGCGAGAGCGCAAGTCCCAAAAGCCTTGGACATAAATGATTTCTGACCACTTTCCTAGTCTTTGACAAAAATTAGAGAGGTCTAGTAGAATATTATAGTCAAGCCTACCTTTGGGTGGCCATTGAGATTGGTTGTCTAATTTATATTGTGGCCATGCCACCGTGGAAAGGAAGATTAGTCTTTTTCGTTTTAGATCCTGAGCCAAATGTAAGGTTTCTAAATTTTGGAGGAGACAACCCAGGGGAGTGTCCCTAGGGATTTTTGATTGTGAGGTTCCCATTTCCCAGCCAACAGAAAAACAGAAACAAGCCTTGCACAGCGACAAAGTGTCCCTTGCCACTGTTAAAGACCGGGGCCTCCTGGAGCCACTCAGAGAAAAGAGGAACTACAAGACGGACATCTCCGGGTTGGAGTCCTCTAAATGGCCACCTGGTGGCCTAAAAGGGGCCTCGGGTGTGCACACAACTTCTGGCTGAGGGGACTTCTGGTGAATAGGTAGGGAAGGGGAACACTCACCGAAGAGGGCAACTGCAGAGCGGTGGCACAAAAGAAACTGGAATGCTTGATGTACTCAGGAAGGTTTCTGAAGCTGGAGTAGCAGGTTCGTGAGGGAGGAGGTTCCTAGGGTCCCCCTGAGGGGTCCCGAAGAGGGGGGTCTCCTCCCGGGTTTCAGCACCAACTGTTTTAATTAATTTAGGGGAGTTAAATAAGTTTAACATGAGACCAAATTAAGTAAGAAAGTGGCAGGTTTTAATTGCAAATATGCAGCAACTCTCGGGCGAGGTTCTCCGGTCCACAAGTATGGGGCCAGGGAAGTCACGCCGGCTCCTGCTGGTGGTGAACTTTTATGCATTGGCACCGGAAAGGGGAGGGCAGTGGGCGGGATAGGGGCGTCTTCATAGGCGTGGTCGGGTAAGTTTCGGTTTCTTCAGATTGATGTCATGTGGCGCATGCTCAGTTGATCCACACTTTCCCGGGCACAGGCAAGTTGGTGATGAAGAACCTGGAAGCAACAGGGACTGCGCCATCTTGTTCATCTTCCTCCATCTTGTCCCTTTTCCCTCACCCAAACAGATACCAACAACATTATTGAATGTTACCCTAACTTGAATTATTTCTGGTAGTGACAGGGTTTTCTAGTAGCAATTTAAATAGATTTATATACTACTATGTAATCTATGGATTGTTGGGAGTCATTTTAATGTAAGCATTTTAACAATGAAAATTGCATTATGCTTAGAACATATAGGGACAATAAAAGTCACAACCCTCTTGAGCTTTTTAGAACCCCTGATGCTTTGAAATGTGTGTTAAAGCATTACTCATGACTATTTCTTTCCTAAAATGATGGCAGCTGTGTTTCCTATCTTGTGATGAGTATTTTTAAGATCACCATACAGAAAAGAGCAAGATTGTATTTAGAGCACATGTCAGGTTTATATGGTGCAGTTTTGGCAAAAATAAAACAAAGAACAAAAACTTTGTGAGTAGATTCTTTGATAGAAATAGTTCACAATTAATAAGTACTTAGAAAACTGAAAACTAGAATCACCTCCAATAGAATTGCAGTGTTTTTATTTAACAATGGCAAGCAGATACAACATATTTAAAAAGTTTTTGTGGATTCCTTATAAAAGTAAAATGCTAGATTTATTGGTCTATGATCCTAGAAAATGGATTTTATTATTTTAAGCCTTTTTTCATGATCCTCTTTCCTTATCCAGCTGGGTAAATGTTCCTCCTTTTTCCACTTATAACACCTCAAGCAAATCATTCTGTTTTCCTCATTGAACTGAAATGACGTATTTATACTCTGATTTTTCTTTCATTTCGTTTTTTATTTTTTTAAATTATACTTTAAGTTCTAGGGTACATGTGCACAACGTGCAGGTTTGTTACATATGTATACATGTGCCATGTTGCTTATCGGCTTAAGGAGATTTTGGGCTGAGATGATGGGGTTTTCTAAATAGACAATCATGTCATCTGCAAACAGGGACAATTTTACTTCTTCTTTTCCTAACTGAATACCCTTTATTTCTTTCTCTTGCCCGATTGCCCTAGCCACAACTTCCAACACTATGTTGAATAGGAGTGGTGAGAGAGGGCATCCCTGGCTTGTGCCAGTTTTCAAAGGGAATGCTTTCAGTTTTTGCCCATTCAGTATGATATTGGCTGTGGGTTTGTCATAAATAGCTCTTATTATTTTGAGATATATCCCATCAATACCGAATTTATTGAGAGTTTTTAGCATGAAGGGCTGTTGAATTTTGTCAAAGGTCTTTTCTGCATCTATTGAGATAATCATGTGGTTTTTCTCTTTGGTTCAGTTTATATGCTGTATTATGTTTATTGATTTGCATATGTTGAACCAGCCTTGCATCCCAGGGATGAAGCCCACTTGATCATGGTGGATAAGCTTTTGGATGTGCTGCTGGGCTCGGCTTGCCAGTATTTTGTTGAGGATTTTTGCATCAATATTCATCAAGGATATTGGTCTAAAATTCTCTTTTTTTGTTGTCTCTCTGTCAGGCTTTGGTATCAGAATGATGTTGGCCTCGTAAAATGAGTTAGGGAGGATTCCCTCTTTTTCTATTGATTGGAATAGTTTCAGAAGGAATGGTACCAACTCCTCCTTGTACCTCTAGTAGAATTCGGCTGTGATTCCGTCTGGTCCTGGACTTTTTTTGGTTGGTAGGCTATTAATTATTGCCTCAATTTCAGAGCCTGCTATTGATCTATTCAGGGATTCAATTTCTTCCTAGTTTAGTCTTGGGAGACTATAATTGTCCAGGAAATTATCCATTTCTTCTAGATTTTCTAGTTTATTTGCGTAGAGGTGTTTATAGTATTCTCTGATGGTAGTTTGTATTTCTGTGGGGTCGGTGGTGATATCCCCTTTATCATTTTTTATTGTGTCTATTTGATTCTTCTCTCTTTTCTTCTTTATTAGTCTTGCTAGTGATCTATCAATTTTGTTGATCTTTTAAAAAAAACAGCTTCTGTATTCATTGATTTTTTGGAGGGTTTTTTTGTGTCTCTATCTCCTTTAGTTCTGCTCTGATCTTAGTTAATTCTTGCCTTCTGCTAGCTTTTGAATGTGTTTGCTCTTGCTTCTCTGGTTCTTTTAATTGTGATGTTAGGGTGTCAATTTTAGATCTTTCCTGCTTTCTCTTGTGGGCATTTAGTGCTATAAATTTCCCTCTACACACTGCTTTAAATGTGTCCCAGAGATTCTGGTATGTTGTATCTTTGTTCTCATTGGTTTCAAAGAACATCTTTATTTCTGTCTCCATTTCATTATGTACCCAGTAGTCGTTCAGGAGCAGGTTGTTCAGTTTCCATGTAGTTGAGCAATTTTGATTGAGTTTCTTAGTCCTGAGTTCTAGTTTGATTGCACTGTGGTCTGAGAGACAGTTTGTTATAATTTCTGTTCTTGTACATTTGCTGAGGAGTGCTTTACTTCCAACTATGTGGTCAATTTTGGAATAAGTGCGATGTGGTGCTGAGAAGAATGTATATTCTGTTGATTTGGGGTAGAGAGTTCTGTAGATGTCTATTAGGTCCACTTGGTGCAGAGTTGAGTTCAATTCCTGGATATCCTTGTTAACTTTCTGTCTCGTTGATCTGTCTAATGTTGACAGTGGGGTGTTAAAGTCTCCCATTATTTTCGTATGGGAGTCTAAGTGTCTTTGTAAGTCTCTAAGGACTTGCTTTGTGAATCTGGGTGCTCCTGTATTGGGTGCATATATATTTAGGATAGTTAGCTCTTCCTGTTGAATTGATCCCTTTACCATTATGTAATGGCCTTCTTTGTCTCTTTTGATCTTTGATGGTTTAAAGTCTGTTTTATCAGAGACTAGGATTGCAACCCCTGCTTTTTTTTGTTTTCCATTTGCTTGGGAGATCTTCCTCCATCCCTTTATTTTGAGCCTATGTATGTCTCTGCATGTGAGATGGGTCTCCTGAATATAGCAAACTGATGGGTCTTGACTCTTTATCCAATTTGCCAGTCTGTGTCTTTTAATTGGAACATTTAGGCCATTTACATTTAAGGTTAATATTGTTATGTGTGAACTTGATCCTGTCGTTATGATATTAGCTGGTTATTTTGCTCGCTAGTTGATGCAGTTTATTCCTGACATCGATAGACTTTACATTTTGACATGTTTTTGCAATGGCTGGTACCCGTTGTTCCTTTCCATGTTTTGTGCTTTCTTCAGGATCTCTTGTAGGGCAGGCCTGGTGGTGACAAAATCTCTAAGCATTTGCTTGTCTGTAATGGATTTTATTTCTCCTTCACTTATGAAACTTAGTTTGGCTGGATATGAAATTCTGGGTTGAAAATTCTTTTCTTTAAGAATGTTGAATATTGGCCCCCAATCTCTTCTGGCATGGAGAGTTTCTGCCATGAGATCTGCTGTTAGTCTGATGGGCTTCCCTTTGTGTGTAACCTGACCTTTCTCTCTGGCTGCCCTTAAGATTTTTTCCTTCATTTCAACTTTGGTGAATCTGACAATTATGTGTCTTAGAGTTGCTCTTCTCGAGGAGTATCTTTGTGGCATTCTCTGTATTTCTTGAATTTGAATGTTGGCCTGCCTTACTAGGTTGGGGAAGTTCTCCTGGATGATATCCTGCAGAGTGTTTTCCAACTTGGTTCCATTTTCCCGGTCACTTTCAGGCACACCAATCAGACGTAGATTTGGTCGTTTCATATAATCCCATATCTCTTGGAGACTTTGTTCATTTCCTTTTACTCTTTTTTCTCCACATTTCTCTTCTCATTTTATTTCATTCATTTGATCTTCAATCACTGATACTCTTTCTTCCAGTTGATCGAGTTGATTACTGAAGCTTGTGCATTTGTCACGTAGTTCTAGTGTTATGGTTTTCATCTCTATCAGCTCTTTTAAGGTCTTCTCTGCCTTAATTATTCTAGTTATCCATTCATCCATTCTTTTTTCAAGGTTTTTAGTTTCTTTGCACTGGGTACATAGTTCCTCCTTTAGCTCTGAGACGTTTGATCAACTGAAGCCTTCTTCTCTCAACTCGTCAAAGTCATTCTCCATCCAGCTTTGTTCCATTGCTGGCGATGAGCTGCGCTCCTTTGGAGGGGTAGATTCTCTCTGATTTTTTGAATTTCCAGCTTTTCTGCACTGCTTTTTCCCCATCTTTGTGGTTTTATCTGACTTTGGTCTTTGATGATGGTGACGTACTGATGGGGTTTTGGTGTGGGTGTCCTTTCTCTTTCTTAGTTTTCCTTGTAAGAGTCAGGACCCTCAGCCGTAGGTCTGTTGGAGTTTGCTTGAGGTCCACTCCAGACCCTGTTTGCCTGAGTGTCAGCAGCCGAGGCTGCAGAAGATAGAATATTGCTGAACAGCAAGTGTTGCTGTCTGATTCTTGCTCTGGAAGCTTCGTCTCAGGGGTGTACCCCACCATGTGAGGTGTGAGGTGTTGGTCTGCTCCTAGTGGGGGATGTCTCCCAGTTAGGCTACTCAGGGGTCAGGGACCCACTTCAGCAGGCAGTCCGTCTGTTCTCAGATCTCAACCTCTGTGCTGGGAGATCCACTGCTCTCTTCAAAGCTGTCAGACAGGGGCATTTACCTCTGCCAAGGTTTCTGCCTCTTTTTGTTTAGCTATGCCCTGTCCCCAGAGGAGGAGTCTACAGAGGCAGGCCATCCTCCTTGAGCTGTAGTGGGCTCCACCCAATTCGAGCTTCCCAGAGGCTTTGTTTACCTACTTAAGCCTCAGCAATGGTGGTCACCCCTCCCCCAGCCTCACTGCTGCCTTGTAGTTAGATCTCAGACTGCTGTGCTAGCAATGAGGGAGGCTCTGTGGGCCTGGGACTCTCTGGGCCAGGTGTGGGATATAATCTCCTGGTGTGCCATTTGCTAAGACCCTTGGTAAAGCACAGTATTAGCGTCAGAGTTACCCAATTTTCCAGGTGTTGTGTGTCTCAATTTCCTTTGGCTAGGAAAAGGAATTCTCTTCCCCCTTGTACTTTCCAGGTGAGGCGATGCCTCACCCTGCTTCAGCTCTCACTGGTCGGGCTGC